GATGGCGTGATAGTTAAGAGCTTCGGTTTGGAATCACAGTTATGGGTTTTAAATCATGGGTCTACCATTTATTTGGCTGAGACATGAAAGAACAAGTAATTTAATCTCCCAGAGCTTTAGTTTCCTCATTTGTAAAATAAGGATAGTAGTACGTATCTCCCAGGCTTGTGATGAAGATTGAATATCATAATGTTTGTAAAAAAAATCTTAGCACACACAGAAAAGTCCTGGTACAATGAGCTGGCAGTAATAGTAGCTGTTGTTAGCATGGACATCGACTTGAACCACATCTGAGTGTGTTTGGGAGAACCGTGGTAATGTTTACTTTGCAAAAACATGCTCTTCTTATTGTTTCATCACACTTTACTGTAATTATTGGTTTAATGTCTGACTATCCCCAGTAGACTACACAATCTGGATCTGTGAGCCAGGGCCATGTCCCTCTTATCTGCCCTGAACACCTGATTAGCACAATACCTGGCATGTCATTTCTGTAGAGGTAACCAGAGGAGGTTATACCAGCTCCCCAGAGATGGCAAATCTAAATCAGAATAGGGATTTGGGTGCCAGGAAGACAAAAGTAGGAGGTGAAAATAAGTTGTTCGGCATTCCATTTCCTTAAGATTACTCTAAATGGCTCAAATATGAGTTGAAGTATGAAATGCATCAGAATCAAGGTCTCTGGGTTGGTGTACCTCTGGCCAGCTCAACATGAAATGAGAGCCATGTGCAACAGCCTACAGCGCCACATACAGCTGGGTGGAGAGTGACCTCACCTTAGATCTTTATGGTTTATTCTTTGAGAAAATTATAAGTCGTTATCTGTGTTTTAATTTCTGTTAGAAGTAAATTTGTTTCCATTCCATTTCTAAAGTCACTTAGTGACATTATTAATGTATATTGAAGTTATACGTACAGCTTTTGATTAGTGCATCAACCGAGATCCTCTAAAAACAATGTTTTCCTCCATAAATGAAGTTCTGTCCTCAACCTGAAAGTCATGGATATGGATTGGTCCAGTGTCATGTAGATTTGTAACCTTTCAGAATAATAAAGAAACTTTGGTGTTAGTCATAAAGAGGGCACACTCTGAGCAGGAAGGCTGGCCGAGGGCCAGGAGGATATTGTTCACAAAAGACCTGCAACAGAGAATCTGAAATTTGGATAATCTTACCAACGTGTTGAAATCAGCTTCTTAGTGTTACCAAAACGGAAGAAAGATTTCCAGACAGAGAGTAAATAAGTCTCCTAATCAATGTGAAAGAATATGTGCCTGGGAACAAACTGGAGTGGATATTATGTTCACCTCTTTCTCAGCCCTATCTTTCAATAACACACGTCAGTTTTTTTTTTGTCTGTTATTTGTGTTTTTTTTATTTTTATTTGTGTGTGTGTGTGGTTTTTATTGTACTTTAAGTTCTAGGGTACATGTGCACAACGTGCAGGTTTGATACATAGGTTTACATGTGCCATGTTGGTTTGCTGTACCCATCAACTCATCATTTACATTAGGTATTTCTCCCAATGCTATCCTTCCCCACTAGCCCCCACCCTGTGTCCAAGTCTCATTGTTTAATTCCCACCTGTGAGTGAGAACATGTTGTGTTTGGTTTTCCATCCTTGTGATAGTTTGCTGAGAATGATGGTTTCCAGCTTCATCCATGTCCCTGCCAAGGACATGAACTCATCCTTTTTTATGGCTGCATAGTATTCCATGGTGTATATGTGCCACATTTTCTTAATCCAGTCTATCACTGATAGACATTTGGGTTGGTTCCAAGTCTTTGCTATTTTGAATAGTGCCGCAATAAACATACGAACACGTCAGTTTTTGCCAGATACACACGGAGAGGTGTGAATTAAAGTCACTGTTGAGTAAGTTTGTGATATATCTTTCAACAGAAAGAAGGAAAAGTCTCTGAAAGAACATGCCACTAAATTAAAAAAAAATTCTGGGGTAGACGTATGGTTTCTGAAATCAACTCTAAATGGATACTGTCTATTAAATGTTTGTCTCCAACATAATTCACACTGAAATTCAAATGGAAATGATTTTTTCCTTGGAGTAGAGTCAATATGTAGTGACTTAAGATATTTTTCAAAAAAGGCCATGTGTGGTGGCTCACACCTGTCATCTCAGCCCTTTAGGAGGCTGAGGTGGGTGGATCACCTGAGGTCAGGAGTTCGAGACCAGCTTGGCCAACATTGGGAAACCCCATCTCTACTAAAAATACAAAAATTAGTTGGGCATGGTGGCACACACCTGTAATCCCAACTACTCGGGAGGCTGAGGCAGGAGAATTGCTTGAACCCGAGAGGTAGAGGTTGCAGTGAGCTAAGATTGCACCATTGCACTCCAGCCTGGGCGACACAGTGAGACTCCATCTCAAAAAAGAAAAAGATACATAAAAAGGATATATTTTAAAAGATATTAAATATTAATATAAGCCAAACTCATGATTCCTAAATACCTCCAGAAAGTTTCAATATGGCTTAAATTAACGTAAACCCACTTCCTCATCCGCCTGGGTAATTTATCCTGTAATTTGTAGTAATACTGTATCTGTGTTTGTAATGCTTCTTTCAGTGACCTCATTGTGCCAAGCTATGCTTATGATTTCTATCATCTTCATCCCCCAACTGGCCACTCTTAATAATTCGATATTTATTTATTTGTAATCAACCATGGTATCTGGCACTGGCATTCTATTTTAGTGAAGTTCAATATTTTCAGAAAAATCTCAGACCATGTTTTCAGGGCATATTTACACTAAGAGTAATATTAAGGTATAGTTTCAGGAGAGAAGATAGCCTAACCTGTACTGGGAAAAAAAGTAGAGAAAAATAGCAAGTGTTATACAATTATAGTCATCCTATAATAATACACTTCATGCAGAACTTCACAGTTATGCTCACCCCTTTAGCTGTCTGCAGGAAAAAGGGTGCCAACAGACAGCTCTGATGCCATCTTCTAGGATTTCCAGGTGTTTCAGGGGCCAAATGACATGCACCTCCAGTTTGGCAGGCATGCTGCTTGTTGTCTGTGCATAATCTCGTTAAAATAACATAAAAGCAGGGCTGACTGCAGAAATCCAGGGCATCTTTTTCAGATGTGTAACACAATATTTAATGAAAGTATCTTTTCTGAAACTCCCAGTTCAGCATTCCTGATCTGGCCAACTCTTTTTTCACTTGTGGACTTCCTGCTCAGTCCTCCTGTGTATATGGGTGTGTGTGTGTGTGTGTGTGTGTGTATGTCTGTGTGTGAACTAACATGACAGCAAAAGCAACCTTTCGTTTTCTAACTACAGTCTGCCTACATGATTTGCGCTGCAGAACAGAATAAACACATGGAAAGCTTGGCAAGGTTAAGGCAGAGGGTGTGTGTGCAGACCGAAGTGTTTGTATCCCCACTTCTACAAACTCTCTGTCTCTGCCATTGCCCCTTAACGGAGCCCGCTTACGTTTCTCAGATGCCAGAGCACAGTTAGTGCTCCAGAGCAGGAGGGGCTTCCCCCTAGTTGTTCTGTTGCAGCGGTTCCTTGCCCCATCGATCACCCTGATGTCCCAGGAAAGGCAACACAAGAGTGAGTAAAGAAAGGCTCACAGAGCAGCATTATTGTGCACATAACTCCATCCCAACTGCAAATGCACAAGTGGGCCCCGTGTCCCTGATCAATGTGATGTGTGTCTTAAAATACTGAGGTTCACTAAAATAGGATGCCAGTGCCAGGTACCATGCATGCTTGATTAAAAGCACACCCTGCTTCCTGCTCCCCTGGCTAGTGATGGGCCCATCCTATTACACCACTCTGCCTGCCACTCAGACCACACCAGAAAGCCTGCCCATGTGCAGAGCCAGAGTTCAGAGGTAGTGACGCTTCAAGTAGGAGGGGGTGCAGCAAGGCTCAGGACAACACCAGGCAGCACTGGGTGGCCTCGATCTGATACTGAAGCCTGGCCTTGGCTGTTGAACTTGGCTCCCCTGCGCCCTGGGGATGGAACTAACCTTGGGCCCTGTGTTGCCTTCCCCTGCACCTCTTACTCTCTTGCCTCATTTCCCCTGTGGATTCTGTGCTATCAAAACAGACCCTCCGACCCTGACTTTATTTTACACTGAAAAGCACCGAGATTTCTTTTGTCTTGCAATGGAAGTTTATGGGCCCCAAATGAGACTTACTCTTTATAAAAACAAACAAAAACCTAAAATCAACCTATTCTTCTGGAGAAAGCTAAACAAACATGAGAACACACATAGTCGCTGAGATTTTGGTGTACTTTTCTCATTCCTTGTTCTCTGGGTGAACTGAAAGGATTTCCTCTAGTCTGCTACTGTAAGTGATCTTGTTTTTTGTCCTCAGGAGCACTGTTCATACATTTGTTTCATGGCCTTCCCGGGGAAGGACTGTCTCGTTTATCTTTGCATCTGCTCCTGCTGTGGTCATCGGCAGAGCACTGTGACCTGCCGTCTGGGCGATGCTTAATAGTAATTTATCACTAAATGATAGTTATTGATTCATTTCCCCACTAGACTGCAGTGATTAATGACGATTTGCACATAGCAGGTGCTTAGTAAACATTTACTAAATTGAACTAACATGACAGCAAAAACAACCTTTCGTTTTCTAACTACAGTCTGCCTACATGATTTGCACTGCAGAACAGAATAAATAGATGGAAAGCTTGGCAAGGTTAAGGCAGAGTGCAGAGGAAAGGTGTTGGCTGAGTCAGGAGACCCTGGCCGTGACTACTTTTGCTTTGATCTTGCCCCCGTGGATGCCCTCATTTCCTTTCAGGAGGTTGGGATGGTCTAATGGCTATAAAAACACTTTGGGAAGAGTTTACAGCATTTTACAGCCACAAGGCGTTATTATTTCCTTTACAATTTTCAATAGCAAAAAAACATAATGAGCATTTAGTAAATGTTGACTCTCAGTGTTAAATACTGTTTACTCCCCCAAATAAGTGAGCTGTAATACTTGTGTAATGCTTTCTCACAGGTATGAATTAGGAGCCGCTCTGTTTATTGGATGGGCAGGAGCCTCACTGTGCATAATTGGTGGTGTCATATTTTGCTTTTCGATATCTGACAACAACAAAACACCCAGGTATGAAAAAGAGACAAAAATGATCTGTTAAAAAGTCGAAGGCTATTCTAAATCATGACATGTGGGACAAATTTCAGATAGTTCATATGATTCTTAGAAACTTCCAAAACCCAGAATTGGAAAAGGTTAGGAGTACAGTTAATTTTTTACAGTTTTACCATTATTATATTCCAAAGAAAATTCTGTAAGAAATAAGGGTCTGAATATGAGGACATGTTCTTCACTTTGGCCTCATCATAATTTTCCTGTAGGCAGGCAGGAATGTTGATGGCCTCCACTAAGTCTCCTAGGTTCCAGGAAGACGAGTTTTAAAACATGGTTTTGTAAGAGGATAACTGAACAAATGACCAAGTCATGAGTTTCTTCTGCAGAGATTGTCCATCCCACCAGTTATTCAGAAATGACACTGAAAATACTTCTTGGGGCAAGAGAGAAGAAAGCTATCTAAGAAAGAGGAAGACTTACATTTAGATATTGACAAAGACGGGCTGAAACAGTTTCTTCCCATTTTTGTCTGCCCTATGCGTAGAATAGAACCTACCAAACTATGTTTTACCTTTCAGATACGCATACAACGGGGCCACATCTGTCATGTCTTCTCGGACAAAGTATCATGGTGGAGAAGATTTTAAAACAACAAACCCTTCAAAACAGTTTGATAAAAATGCTTATGTCTAAAAGAGCTCACTGGCAAGCTGCATCTTGAGTTTGTTATAAAAGCGAACTGTTCACAAAATGATCCCAAGGCCCTCCCATAATTAACACTCAAAACTATTTTTAAAATATGCATTTGAAGCATTTGTTGATTGCAATGGATGTAAGTGTTCTTACACAGTTATATACTAATCATTTTCTGTTGTGGCTTTCTATAAAAAATAAACAGGTTATTTACAGGATTTGTAAAATGTTTTCTACATTTACTACCAAAAGTTCAAGAAGTATTTGTACTCTAGCCTTTTTCATCATTCATAGATAGAAGTCTTCATACCCACTCCTTATGTTTCTTTTCATTCATACACAGGTATATAAGGAACAATGTCTTATAAACAGCATGGCGGCAATCTGAGAATATTCCTCAAAAGGTGTCCAGGTTAAATAGACATGTTATTGGCTGTATACAGGCAAATTCTAGTTTTTGTTGTTGTTGTTTTTAGTATTCTACAACATGTATTTAAAAAGCTAAATCTTTTTGTTGAAGCAGCAAGTTATCTGGCATAACTTAACTTCTACAGGATCAGAGAATCTTGCTCATTCATGGCCATATCCACATGCCCATGGCCGCTCATATTGTTGAAAAAGCAAAGCCACACCATTCTCTTTGATGTATGCAGAGAGTTACGTAGCAGGGGATGTTCTCTGATTTATTCCACTGGCACCATTAGTGACTGTTTAGTTGTTTTCATAAATGATGCTGCGATGAAGACTCATGTACATATTTAGCAAATGTTAGTTTCTTACATGTGTCTGTCATGACTGTAATTCATTATGACTGCTCCAGGAAGGGCTAATGGGGCCAATATATTATTGCATGTCATGTGGCACATCCATGTGAAGGGGCTGAGCGTCCCTGGCACAGAATGCAGAGCCCTGAACTAGGGCATCAGCAGAAGCTGAGATAGAGATATTGGTCGTGGTTGACTGTGGAGCCAATTAAAACCTGTTTATGCCTAGTGTTCCATTATTGGAACGCTAAGCATGTAGGAGTTATTTATATCCTACTGCTCAAGGTCATTGCCAAGGTCTGATTGGAAAAATTCAAAAAATTGCAACCTTAGGCATAAATGGGTTAAGGACATCCCAAGCCCACGTGGTATGTGCCTCACTCAGAACTGACGGGCTGAGTTCTATCTAGTCTGTCTTCCAGAACCTGTTTATGGAACTAACTGGATAACTGAGACACTTGTCATTTCTAAAGACATTTAAGTTGTTCCAGGGATTTCTGAACAAAGACACAGCCTTCCTCCTACAGCCAGCCCTATATAACATGCCCACAAGGGCAACATTTATCACAGTTAATACATGCCTTTCATGTCCTGTCTCACTCACTCCTCACAGCCATCCTAGGAGATACATACTGTTTTCATCCTGCCTTTACAGAAACAAATGAAAGCACAGAGCTTAAGTAATTTGCCACAGTGATGTCAAAACTAGGCCTTTGAACCAGACAGTCTAGGGTAAAATATACTTTCAAAATATGAATAAGAATTGGTATGTGTTATCTTTGAGTAAGAAACTGTCTGATATGAATCACAACATGGATGAATGTAGTATTTTCCTGAAGTGTGAAAGACTTAAAAATCACATTGTTCAGAGGTGCTCAATGGAAAGAAAAGGAAATGAACAAGTTTGTTAAAAATAAAAATAAAAAATTCCATACCTTGATAATCCTTGAAATATCTTTTGCAGAAATACAAATTAACTGAAAGACATAAAGGTAGATTAGGTCCTACAGGCCAGTGTGGGACAGGGTTGTGTCGGTTTGCATTTCAAACAAATTTGTTATTCAAAACTGGTGAAGATAACGCTTAGATTATACTGAAGAATTTAGGGAGGGTGGGGGATGAAGGTCCGTTAGAAACCAGAAACACATTAGTTGGGCATCAGTAAGGGGCAACATAAAGGAATGGTTCCCCTCAAAAACGAACAAACCAAATTTTATACAAAAGAGATGCAGCCGGGCGCGGTGGCTCACGCCTAGAATCCCAGCACTTTGGGAGGATAAGGTGGGTGGATCATTTGAGGTTGGGAGTTCGAGACCAGCCTGGCCAACATGGTGAAACCCCGTCTCTATTAAAAATACAAAAAAGTTAAACCAGGCATGGTGGTGGGCACCTGTAATCCCAGCTACTCGGGAGGCTGAGGCACAAGAATCGCTTGAATCTGGGAGGCGGACGTTGTAGTGAGCTGAGATGGCACCACTGCACTCAAGCCTGGGCAACAGAGTGAGACACTGTCTCAATTAAAAAAAAAAAAAAAAGATACAACTCACCAGGTAAGTTAAAAGAGGGGCTTTTAAGACACAGATGTAGTGACTTAATTTAAATACTGGGTTTACTGAGCAAAAGTTTATTTCCCCAAGCCCTTCTGCTCAGGAATGAAAACATGGCAGACACAAAACACGGAATAGAGGCCTGGCTTACAGTCTCCCCTTGACACTTTGTACCTGCATGGCTTCTGGCAAGTTACTTAATCACTCTCAGTTTCTCACACCTTTAGGATGAGGATTATAACAATAATGACATCACAAAGTTGTAATTAAATGAATTAGTGCATGTTCAAAACCAAACCAGACAAAGTGGTTCTATAAATCTTTTTTTTTTAATTTATTTTTTATTATTATTATACTTTAAGTTCTAGGGTACATATGCATAACGTGCAGGTTTGTTACATATGTATACTTGTGCCATCTTGCTGTGCTGCACCCATCAACTCGTCA